AAGGTCGTATTCAGACCTGATAATTTGCTCCGCTTTAAACGAACCTGAGTTCGTTTCCAGCGTTGGTCCGGACCTTTTGTGCAGGTGTGAATACACTCCTGCGAACTCTGGTGCGGATCAAACAACCGGACCGAGACCTGCTTTTTGAGGTGGTCTCAGTCCACTTCCAAACGAACTCTGGTGAGGTTCACTTTAGTTCTCTTCTGGTGTGAATACAGACCGGACTCTAACCAAACCAACTGCATTAAACATGCACCTTTTTGGACTTCACTGGCCACCGTTGCTGAGCTAAATAAACTGAAAACATACCTGTTTCRTCGTCTCCTGTTAGCAGCTCTGCTGTCAGCATGTTGTGGGTCAGAACACGCAGCGCACCTCGTCTCCTTTGGGTTGCGGGACACATTTACTGACGCCGCTCCAAAATTAGAATATCATCACAGAACCACCATTAAATTAGTTGCTTCTGACATTTTAAATGCTATTGCAGTTGTACTATCAGCAAAAATGTGAGCATCAGAACCGCAGCATGCAGGACTTCCTTGTTTTCTTCTGGATCTGTGGCTCAGTCCCGCCCCCGTCCTTTTTTTGTCCAATGGGAGCAATGATCGTCACACTCGTGGCTTTGTTTACAAGTTATAGTTCATTTGCAAAAAAGCACAATATGAATGCAAACCGCACCAAACAAAAAAATATATAAAAAAAAGTCCATTTTTGGTCCAGACCAAACAATTGGACCAAAGGACTTTCCTGGTCTGAATACACCCTAAAGTATCGAACCGAACCGTGAACTGCCTGTATCGTTGCACCCCTAGTATACATAGGTATGTTGTTCATGATTAAATGCAGCAAAATAAACTATTTCAAAGGTAACAGATCTTTATAATACTTGGTTTATTTACATAATGGCTTTAATTGCTGGATGTTTGGCCCCTGTGTTGTTGGCCTGCATTAACCCCCGGAGCAGTTTAGTTAAACAGTCCTGTTCTAAAAGCTCTGAATGAGGAGTAAGTTTCGCAGTTTGGCAGGTGTGATTTACTGGACGGCCTTTTTAAAATACTTAGAATTGTTTCCTTTGAGGCTGTTTGTCCCACACTAACTGAAGCTGTTTTGGTACCAGCAAGATTAAATCTTTCCAAACACAATAAGCAGTGAATGAAATGCGTCACGTCGACACCGCCGCCCTGCTCTGCGCCGTGCTTTCACTCTGCGCTCAATTGATTTGGAGCTCCAATTGAATTTAAGGGACGTGAAAAGCAATCAGAGCTGCAGCAGAAACGAGTCGGTTATCAGGCGGCTGCGCACTTCTGTAAAAATGATCTCCTGTCAGGCGTCTCCGGGCCGAGCGTCTCGTTACTCCGGGAGAGTTTCAGAGTTTATGGTGTGTGAAAAATATTCATGTCAGCCAGCTGCAAACAGGCTGAAGAAACGTCCTGAAGAGAGTCGCAGAGAAAACGAGAGAAATGTGAACGCTGAAGGAATTTACAGAAATTTGAAGCTGAAATAGAATTGTTCAAGTTAAATTAAAAAAAGGGCAAAATAAGCTTTTGGGGAGAACATTTTTTGAGGGAAACAAAGAGGAATTTTATTTTAAGCAAAACAAAATATTTTTTAAAAAGTAAAGTCCGTCAACCTAAATATTTTGATTAACAAATGGTAAAAAGAAAACACAAAGTCCGAAAAACTTATGAAAGAAACATTAAAGTGTACCCC